TTCTTATTGCCGGAACTATTTGATTTCGGAGCATGTCTTCATAGTTTGCGGCGTTCAAATTGCCATCAACGAAGAATGGTCCTATTAATCTATTATGTAATATTCCAGCCCAAAACGTTTAGTTTCTCCGGATATTGCGTATTATGTCTTCGTATCCAATTAGGATTCGAATTGGACCAATACCTACAGTTATCCTTATTCAGAGTATCATCTAGTTGAAATGTTGCTTCGTCCGAGAAGGCTATATTTGATGCAAAGTCAGGATCTTTATCTGTTCGGAACATCATATCCTCACAGAACTCCACACGTCGATCGAAATCATCTTCATTTAACTCATGAACAAGTCAAATTTTGTATAAGGATGAAATCTATTTTTTTTTATATGTTATGGATAGCATTCTACTTATTTCATGTTCTTGAGAAGTTCTGCGGGTAGAACTATGAGGGTTTCCTGTGAATGATAATAAAACATCCAATGACTTTTCTGTATTTGTTGCTGAACTTGGTTTTCCTGATCTAGGTCGATCTTTGACGCTGCCTCTATCTTCAAACCGTCTAACAGTTCTTTCGACAGTTGATTTTGAAATACGAACCATCCCATTTCTAAAAGTTGCATTGAAAATGTTCTTTACGTGATTACAAGATCTTCTGACCTCACCCCAATCTCTCATCATTAGAAGAGATATTCTTTTTCGTTCAGTAAGACGTTTCTCATTAATAACTTTTTTATTAATATCGATTTCTTATTAATAACTCAACTTATTTTTTTTTGGATCTTAGAATAACAAAACCAATGGATAATCAAAAGGAAAACAGCTAATTCATCATTAAATGGATGAAAAAATCTCATTAACAATTCTTGTTCAACGAATGAACACAATTGAAAAGAAATCTCTAAACAATACCAATCAGAAATTTCCAGGGAACAATAATTCTACAGTACGAAACAGTCGTGATGAAAAATTTGATGCATGGAGCATAATGAAAAATACTTCGAAAGTAATCTAATTTTTCTAATTCGTCTTTTGGCATGATTTTATATGGGAAAATTTATTCAGTTTCTGAATGACTCCTAGGAATGAGTTTGACTCAATTTTGACCAGACATTATGTTCACATTAATATCATAATTCGTCGTATACGAAGGTATTTTATGGAGTGAACTTCTTCATTTTCGTCATTTCGAAAATCTATGGATTCAAGTTACCCTCAGGGATCACTTTGACCCAATGAATAAATATTTACGTAAGGTACCCAAACGATGGCCAAAACCTCTTTATTGTTGTTTAGAATCATGACCTGGATAATATTTGTCAAGATCAAGGTCATTGGAGGTTGTTTCGCTTATTTTCATTTCCATGTAAAAATCGCGACGATACTGTAACTTTCAAGCATCGTAACTCGAAAAGTACTTCATGAAAAAATATTTTATTATAGTTGTTCAGTACAATAATTTTATGTCGATTAACTCGTCGAGTTCCCCTGCGGCGATATGCGAGGGCTCCCCAAGTCTCCGCGTTACGTCCCTTCCCGCGTGTGGCGACTGCGCGTAATGCGCGATCGATTCTCGCCTTCCTCGATCGAAGAGGAATCAATGATTATTTTAGTCTTGCCACGAGAACATGTGCCCTAGCGATACGCGAGAAAAATCAGTGATAAGATAGAACGCGACCGTCCGCACACGAGGCGAATAAAGTCTATGTCAAGCAAGAGAAAGTGTTTGTTTCATTTCTCGACCACGTATCCTCGACGCAGTCCTTCCACGGAAAAGACATGGAAACTCGGAGCAGTGAGTTATCGCACGAGGGCAGTGCCGAGCGAACAATAGTGTTTTGGAAAATTCTCGAGATGTGCTATAAGAATATGCAATGAAAAATGGGAAAAATGGGAAAAATTCCATTTTAAAAAATTGATGTGATCTTGACTTGACCTTGGCGACGCGACCCAAGGTCAAACGGATGTGATCAGTAATTAAACATTTTTGAATCCTACAACTTTTGTCTGAAATACTTTTCTGTAATACTTATACTTTCCATGATATTCAGGTGCACCCGAACTTTTTAGACACTCTGTATACAATATATTACGATATGCATGCGTAAATCATTTTTATTATGTTTATGGAATGTAGTAACGCCATTAAAAAGGATAAAGCATTTGGTGAATTGATCCGCAATTAGTACATGGGGTCTAATTGTAAATAATCATTACTTTAATTAATTCAAATTAAAATATATAAAACGGTAATGAAATGGAATAAAATTATCCATATGTAATTTTTATAATCAATCATAACTATTAAATATTTTATTAATTGTTTCATATTGTTCTGGATAAAAATATGAATTTTTTTAAAGAGTGATCTACAGCTAGTGATTTTACCCTATATCTAATAATTTGTGATTATAATTAATAATATACATATATATTGTCCATTTACATATACAGGGTGTCTAAAAAAAAAACGGATCGAAACACAATGGGGACGTAGATTGGATCAAGGGGAACAAAACAGTACCATTTTGCAGTTGACGCAATATTTAACGAGATATTAACGTTTAAAAATAGGCGAATACAAGCGTCCGACCAGCCTACTGCTCAAGCGCTATCCTTCTCCTCCCCATGCGCGCCGTTCTGAGTAGCTTGCTTGCCAGGCCATCCCCGCACCTCGCACCGCGTCATGCGACGGTGGGGACGGTAGGCCGTCCTGCCGGCAGCAGTACATGAGTAGGCTGGTCGGACGCTTGTATTCGCCTATCTTTAAACGTTAATATCTCGTTAAATATTGCGTCAACTGCAAAATGGTACAAAACTGTTTTGTTCCCCTTGATCCAATCTACGTCCCCATTGTGTTTCGATCCGTTTTCTTGAGACACCCTGTATACATTTTCCTTATACAAAATGTTCCCGGGTCAAATGGCCAAACTTTAAATATGAATTTAGGACCTCAAAACAAACAAAATTTTTCTCTGTAAATATACTCGCAAACACTTTTTCAAGAGATATTGACTTCCGAAGTTACAAAACTGTAGGAATGATTAATAATGTCGAAATAATGTTGAAATAAGATCTATTCTCTTTATTGCTTTACAATAATCAAAATTTAATTATTAAATGTTTTGTTCAAAATGATGATCTCTAGCCCGGAAACAAGCATTGCATCTATCGATAAGAGAACGAGTGGCTGACTGACATTGTGCGTCTGTAATTTCTTCACACGCTTGCACAATTCTTCGTTTTAATTATTGAAAGTCATTAACAGGCACTGCATATACTTTTTGCTTCTGAGTACTCTATACAAAAAAATCTAATGTTAAATCCGGTAAACATGGAAGCCAAGACTACAGATCCAGCACGACCAATCCATCTTCTGAAAAAATGAAGCCACTATTGAGGACATCTGCCATAGTGAGCAGCCATCGAATTAAAACCAAAAGTTCATTCTTATATTCAAAGGAACGTTTTCCAAAAGGTCATAAAATTCATTGGTCAAAGCGAGAAATCCATTCGCATTCAAGCGAGCTGGTAGAAAATGGGGTACAATTAGAATATCGCCTTATTCCTAACCATATATTCTCATTTTGAACAAAACATTTAATAATTAACTTTTGATTGTTGTAAAGTAATAAAGAGGATAGACCTTGTTTCGACATTATTCATTCCTACAGTTCTGTAATTTCAGAAGTCAATATCTCTTGAATGAAGCGTTATAATTTGCGACCATACTTCCAGAGGAAAATTTTGTTCGTTTTGAGGTTGTCAATTCATATTTAAAATTTGGCCATTCAACCCGAGAACACCCTATATATTATTATGCCCGTATCGTGCCGATACCCGTGCCATAACATTTCCGAGCGAGTCGAGTCGAGAGAAAACATGAAGAGCGCGTTGCTGGACGACGAGCAGTAGTGTTCCTATAATAAGAGTTAAGTTAAACCGCCGTCATTAATAGCCAAATACTACTACAAAGACTACAGACGATATACAGAAACTATGACACGTCAAACACACGTAACCGAATTCAATTAAATGAGCATGGTATGGTTAGAAATAACATTCTTTAACAAATCTCGTGTAAATGTACTGCCAGTGCTAGATAACGCGAAAACATGAAGGATAACATCAAATACATGATTTTCTGCAATTTGTTTGTAACTTTTGATTGTGTTGGCTATTGCAACTCATTTGAAACTAGCGGTTAGCTATTACATATAGCGGATTTCAGTAATCAATCAAAAATCATTACCTCAATGGCTTAACTTTTATTATAATATTTCTAATGAGCAGCTGTTGGATTGGATTGACGGATTTGGGCGATTGAGACGTCACTTTGCTCGAACGTGCTCCAATCGCTCCTGTGTTTCTCCGCCGTACACGGATGTTCTGCTTGTTCGAGTTCGTCAATAATAAAGTATCTCGTTTCTTCTTTAACCAACGCGTCTCTTTATTTCGCGGTTTGGGAGAGCGCGTCTGCTCGGGCTCGCGATTCGGTTGCGCGAAATGTGAATAACGCACCGCAAACGTAACAATATCATCTAAATTACGATTATGATAATATATCTACCTGATTGATGGGGAAATCATAGGAGTTCCTCGGCTAACTGGAAATTGCACTGGTGGGTATAATTTAGTAATTTGCGGCTGTAAACCACAATTATACAACTCTCCAATTCCTTGTAAAATTATATTAATGTTTTGTTCGGTGCGTCGAGTTAATACAAGGTTTGTCACGTTTGGATGTAAGGATCCTCTCAAAATGTGCTGCAGAACATCGTCTGGTGCGATTTCGATGACCACAGCGTTACTTGGAATTAAATCTGTTGTTTGTTGAAATAGAACAGTGTTTAATATGCTTCGAGTATGATAGTCCGCCGATGATAACTTTGATGCTGAACTGAACCATTCGGTGCGAGGTATAGAAGTGCTGATCCATTTTGAACTCCGTTTTTTTGGCTGTGGTATTATTTTATTCAAATTAAGCAGAAGCTGATTTTTCGCCGGTGCGAGGTAAGAACTGTGATACGGTACATTGCAGTAAATCTCCTTCACGTAAATATTATTGACCTGATTATATAAAAATGGAACATATGCAGCTGTAGCAAATTGTAGTTTTAATTTTATATTTCAATGTTTTGAAAACTATTAATAATTTTCATTATTTT